TGCAGAAAACATGTCATGTCGTACGCAGGATTTCTTTGTGCCATAAAAACCGAACGCATTTACGTTTATACATAAAAACGTGTAAAAAGTACGTAAATGCAATGTAAGTACAGCCCTGTGTACAAAAGGACAGTATATACAGAGCTGGTTGCAGTCAGACGCGCTGGGATGGGTAGGAAGCGAACTTTAGTTCCATGACGTCGTTGCCCTTGCAAAAATCGAGATGGGCACTGTGTTGCCCATGCTGGAGATGGCGGAGGACTGATCATTACATGCAACTTTTATCACGCAATCTGGCAGTCCCAGCGAGCTGAAAACCGTAAAAAATAACAAAAAAATAGCCCCTTTCGAGAGTTTACGTGTTGCCGCATAAAACGCAAACTTAAAAACGCAAATGCAACCTAATGCCCAAGCCTGGACATAATTATCCTGTTGTACGGTGTGACCTGCCGTTTGGGAGGTTCCTCTGTAGATAATGTCAAGACCGGTGGACCTTTGTGCAGATTTGGTCTTTGAGTTACGTCACCATATTATGCGCTTGCGTGCTTACTCTTGAGTACACATATGCGGGTTGGCATGTTTGCGGGGATATATTTACGTTGGTTGCATAATGTTCAGTGCGGCGCATATCTTGCAACAAAACCGCCCCCAAGAGGGCAGCGATGTTGCCGAACACGCAGAACATGCGTGTTGGGTACCGGACGCTGGTGAATTCGGGCATGTTCTGCATTCTTATTCAGGAAACCAACTCAAAATGACGTGAACCCATTGGGATCTCATGTTTGTCATCAAATTCTAATCCTACATGAGAAAAGCAAAAACACTATGGCCTCCATCTCGCCCTCTGAAAATGTTGAGTGGCAATGCCGAAGACACGAAAAGGCGCTCATATGAGTGGCAATGCCGAAGCCACGAAAAGGCGCTCATAACTGGCTTCAAGACAACAATTATCTTGATAGCCATTCTGCTTCTGCCACAGAGCCATCCTATACATGTTGCATGCATTAACATTCTCTCTTTGGTGGCACATTTCATGTGCACTAATGTAATTCTGGTGAAAGTGGCAATAAATGAAGGTCTCATGAGTGTGCATCAGAGGTCCATGGACTGCAGAGCAACTTTCTGTGCACCGGTCTTCTCTCATCCGCATTTGACTGTTGTGGGCCAGGTGGTTTGAATCTACCGCAAGTTGAATCGTGCTAGCGTTTTGAAATGTCAATAGTATATTACTTTTTACTATCATTCGTTTACAACATCCCCATAATATAACAGTATATTTGCACTCAATCTCAGATTACCTGAAAACATACTGTGCAAGCAGACTTGTGGAAAGCGTTGGTGATTCGAATGGATGCCCTTGTGCACACGCACTCACCGTTACTTAGATACCCCGGCAGGCATCTGCCAAATGTGAGGGTGTGGCCAAAAGAAAAGGGCATGCCAAATGTGAGCACAGCGACGTCACCTACGATAAGGCGCAAGGGAAGGGTGTCTTCAATGATGCACGAACAATACATTCGCTGCCATGCATGCCGTTTATCTGCTGAAAGTGTACATGCTCCGAGGCGTTACTCGGCACAATGTGTTGCACAATGTTTGCTGGAGATCAGCACATTTCCACACATTAAAATCATTTGTATTATAAAGTCTCGCTTTTGAGTCACGAATGGTGCCCAACATGTCAAGCATGTGGGCGCTGAAAATGCTGAGAATTGAGAAGAGAATAAGGCAAGAAACGCGACGAAAAACGGGACACGCGTGACGTACTGATCTATTGCGCTGTCTTTTGTGCCCACATTATATTACGCTTGCTCAAAAAGCTTCTTATAGAGGACAAGTCATCGCGGATACCTTCTGAATATTTAGGTACAGTCAAATGACATCCCAGTTTCGTTAAAGTGGCATGCACGGTTGTATGCTCATCACAGTCCCGAAGTGAGTCCGAATGCGTAGGCCGTATGGATAAAAAGGAAAATTTGACTCCCATAAACTTTTGCGGATATCTGGCGCATGGAGTTCTGATCGCAACATGGCAAATGTTGCATGCACAACTAAGTAAATTATTCGATGTACAGCACCGAAAATTGTACTCACCCATTGCCCTGATTGCCTCCATCCGATTTGGAGAGTTTGACTCGATTTTAAGCCTTCTTTCCAACACGAGCTTCCTTCAACACAGAATATCTCATAATATCTCGAAATTTACTAAAGTAGATAGCAATGTGCAATGTTAATTACGATTTCGATGATATGTGATCAGACGCCCAACCCGTGCCAAGCCATTGCTTCTGTGGCACGACATTCATAAGCAAACCATTGCTGGCCTTGCAGCAGCGCGGGTTCTTCCATGTGAGGTGCAATAATACGTAATTATTTTACATATAGGGTTATGCTACATACAGATATATACAGTATATACTGTATATACAGGGTTGGGCATGGCACAGATGCTGCTGAATGGTGTTGGCATTCCTTTATTCCAATCAAAGACCAAATGGCTTCTGCGCATGGATACTCAGCGACCTACGCCATGCAAAGTATGATGTGCTTGTGGCTTGTTTGCAAGTGAGTGGCGAAACTCCAGCTCGAAAGGCAGTATGAACAGAGCAATTAGACACCGTCAATCCAAGCTCCCAGGACAACTTGCTGAAAGCCCTATTGAATTCAATTTGCAGGGCTGTTGCTGGCAAAAATCGATTGGCAGGAAAGCGAACACCAAGGTCATGGGGTCACTGTGCGCTCAAGGCATACTATGTGTCTTTTTCGTTTGCAATCACGGTTGCGGAGCACTGGCGAATCCAGCTCAAGCACTTCAACAATCTAGCACCTACAACGGCAGTGACAAAATGGATGCTACATTTTGCATCTGTCCCCGCTTGCCTTTTTACAAAGATATTTCGTACAATTTGTCGCCATCGACAATTCTCTTCCTGGAAAAGAGGAATTCTGCAATTTGCAAATGCGATACCTGGGATTTCAAGAACAAGTCATGGGATCTACTGCTCTGGGCCAAAATAGGGATCTCACGACCAACTTATTGCTGTGAAATGTTGCAATTCTTGTTGATGATGAATATATCGACAGATTTCATATCTGCAGCCAGAAGGCGACCAATGCGCACACCTCAAATTTCGTGGCTCTGCTGATGCAATTTTCAGTCCACGATAGCTGTCAGCCTACTTCTGTGCGGGATTTTGCGTTGTCTGCAAATGGGAGCCTTGTTGCCTTCTGGCTGGTTTACGGGAAAGTAAGTCAAGGAGAAGGGTATCCAGTATGATAATGTTCCTCTTTCGTTTCAGCCGCTCGCTGTGCCTATGCGGCGTGGACCAGGTCCAACATGCTCCACAGACGTCTCTGACAGACCCATTCACTGGCATGCAGTAGTGCTGCACTGACCCCATGTTCCTGCGACTATGTTACCTGACTCTCAGAGACTCCGAGGCGCTTTGCAATGTAGAATTGAAATGCAGCGCAACTCCACAGTCGAACGCCTTGTGCAGACTCCGCAAGAAATCGAAGCGCAGAGTCACTTCACCAGCGTCAGGGGTGCTTTCAAACAATACATGACGCCAAATCGTTCAGGGCAAGTTGCTCCACTCTGCTTCGTTGGTGTCTTAGATCTTGGATCATTTGGATGCACTCAACAGAGGGCATGGCATTGTATATACCATTATGGGTGCCCTAAAGCCCATCGTGTTGTGCAACGAATGCAGGAGGGACGGTAGGTACCATGTCCGGAATATTCTGGTTATGGAGGCCGAATATCAAGGATATGGGACCTCCGCGCCCACATGGTATACCCACTATCCAGATGGATATGGTGGCAAGATATCGCCAGATCATCGGGTGTACATCAGGATGTGCAGCTCTTCATTTCCACTGAAAGGGCTACAACCGCCTGCAAGGTTTTCGGGGCGGCCAATTGGTTCTGCGCAGACCGACTGCCGCTTCACAACCTTCAACACAGTTATGCACACACAGCTGCTATTGCATGCTTTGCTGCAGAAATTTTCGCCACCATATTCGAGAACGCACACGGCTTGAGGATTTGTGCGAACTCCGTCGATAGCTCGCACAGCATGACACAGTTATTGTGTTGTACTGCGCGTGTTCTTTCCAGCTGACGTGTCGAGCTCGATGGCGCCTCCAATCCGTATTTTCCAATGTGATTGCGATTTTGCTTCTGATAGTTACTACATGGTACTGTACCATGTTGCGAGCAGTGTGTTGACCACAGCAACTGCTTCTCTAACCATGGCACCTTGACTTTCGGCATTCTTGACCAGTATTCTGGCCCGACTGTTGCTCCACCACAGTATTGTAAGCTGGACATGTAAAGGGGCCATACTTGAAGCAGACGCGCAGGGAAAAAGGCGCATTGCCATAGAGCCGGCCTAAACCTACTCCCATTAATCAGCATTTTGGCCGCATTCAATAGCCCTGAATGTGAACTATACTGTGCGTGGGTTGGCACAAAAGAAGAGGCTGTGATGCATGCTGTCGACTCGTCATCCGGTCAGCCACAATGGCAACCAGCCTCTGCCAAATGGGCCCTTGGCGGGACAAGTCGCAGCCGCACGTTTTTTCAGTGCATACCATGCAGTGGCTGGATGGAATGCAACCACGGGAATACAGTTGTTGATTTTTGCCCATTAGTGTCCAACACGATCCTGACCTGCCAAGTCAGTTGTCCCCTGTTTTACCACCCGAAGCACTGCTATTGGAAATACTGGCAGTGAGCTGACAGCATCCAATGCAGGAGTGCAGGATCAGCGGCAATGAAGGCAGCCTCTGCTGCTGTGAACCCAACGACAGTTATGCATATGGGCGACCAGCTGAACGGATTCGATCCCGCCAAAATGCAGCTATGGAATATGCACCCAGCAACACTGCCCCATTGTCGCTGGTGACATCGTGCCCATTGTTATTTACACATGGATGGACGCAGATTTCGCATGGCGGTGCACAAACAACAGCCGTCATCCCATGTCAGACGGCAATCACAACTTTGGCTCCTTGCTTTCCTCCTCTTCCATGCCAGAGGCCTGCCGCACCGAGGCAGCCATCATATCTTCTTCATCAGCGTCTGCAGTCCATAGTTTGTTGAACAGCACAGTTGTAAGGTACCTTTCCCCAAAGCTAGGTAACACCACGACCATCAGCTTGTCACGGTTCTCTGGTCGCTTGCCCACTTTGATAGCAGCGGCCACAGCAGCTCCAGAGGATATGCCACACAGAAGGCCTTCCTCTCGAGCCAGCCTCCTGGCCATTTCGACAGCCTCCCTTGAAGTAATCTTTGCAGGTAGCAATACACGGCACAACTGTGAGTCATCAGCAGGAGCTTTTCTGATGCACTTGTCTGCCAAACTAGGATGCACACTAACGGTGTTCAACACCCATATGTGTGGGAACTTACAAGCCAAATTAGGGCATCCACATTCCTGCTCATCACCACAGAGGGAGGTTCAGCAAATGCTGTCATGTGTATGAACTGCGAAATGAAAGTTGCAAGATCCAGGCCTACTTTTGGCCAAGTCAAACCTGCACAAGGTCAGGAGACAGGTTCTCTTCTGGCAGTACATATCTGATATTTGTGATTGGTCTGCTTCTTGGGCACAGGTGGCAATGAACAAGTAAACCACTGTATGCATAAATCACAGCATGCACACAAGTGACAGAGAGCCCTGACACACAGATTCTGGGCATCTTGGAATGGGTGGAGTGGGGCCAGAATTCGATTCTTTTCGCCCCTCTGGCAAAAGTAAACAGGCCTACGACCCTCTGCACAGCTAGCAGTACTTGAGAGCCTGTTGTTGTCAGCTGCTGCGCATCCACACACCTCCTTGCTCCAACCCACCTGGATCACTTCATCCAGAAGGTCCCTTTGCAGCACCTTGGGAATGAAGCCGGGTCCCAGCCCTTGGATCTGATGGTACCCGAGCCTTTTGCTGCCTGACAAAACAGCACACTCTGCGGGTTCTACAGCGATTACTTGCACCTCGGGCTTTTGTTCCTTGAGGTACCTTCCACAACCCGTTATTGTGCCTCCTGTACCCACACCGGCAACAAACAAGTCCACATTCCCACAAGTGTCGTTCCAGATCTCAGGTCCTGTGGTTTCATAGTGGACTTCTGGGTTCGCCATATTCTCAAACTGCTGCAGCATGTACGCATTTGGGGTGGTTGCAACAATTTCCTCTGCCTTGGAAATGGCACCTGTCATTCCCTGCATTGCAAGACACAGGATCAGCCAACCATTTGGCAAGCTCAAGTCAGCCATTGCGTATGGAATGACAGAACAATCGCACTCTTGAACTGCACGGGCTGCAAAGATTCACCAAACGGTGCATTGTAGTGCAACACAGATGAACATGTGAGAACTCAACATGCTTGGATCAGCATCCCTTGAGTGGACTAAGCTTTTATGCTTGGAGAAAGAACATCTCAGCCAATGACATGCACAGAATAGCAAAACACAGAAGCACAAACCAGCAAGCATTTGTATGCAAAAAATGGTGAAGGAGCGATTATGTATTAGCAACACCCAGAAGAATGAATGCAATTAGGTCTCCAACACAAAAGTTTTTGCTTCTTGTAGAGAGGCCAATCCGTCCTCGCTGCCAAAGGCACAGAAAATTCTGGCATTTCTGGCATCAGTCGCTTCCAGGAAGTCAGCCGTTTCCCTCCTCTGTGAAAGGGCAAGAGCACAGTAACGAGCACAATAATCAGCCCTCGCTTGCAAAAAGCACCAAAACAGGCATCTCACATGTTTGTCATCAGTGAGTACCAACTCTGCCCCAAAAGCTCGCAGCAGGACCCGCCTCTCCGTGCTCATGGTGTCGGGCATTGTCAATATCAGTTTATAGCCAAGGGCAGCAGCAACAAACGCCAACCCCACTCCTGTATTCCCGCTTGTGGGCTCAACCTAAAGCAGCGGCACCAGGCACCCACAATCATTAATCTTGAAAGTGTAAAACAGAGTTGATAACTACAAGCTGCACAAGGAAGGGAACAACGGTCCCCTGACAGACTGCAGAGACCAATTGTTCGTATTGGCCCCCAAGCATCATAGCGAATTCACAGTTACAGCCCAGCAAGTTTGCAGTTGCAGTAGGTGCAGTGACTGCAGGGTCTGGGGAAGGCAAACATGCTGCAGAAGCCGTCCTTGTTGTTGGGAAAACAAGAACTGGTCCAGGGAAACATTGGCTCGTCCCAAGCACAATCAACCGAACATCACACACACTTTGGCCTTTTTCAATGACGATGCCAAATGAGTACAAGTATTGGCCTGCATGATCAGGTGGGCAACAAGAAGTTGCTGCAACATAATGCCAGCAAAAAGTTACTGTAAACAAAACACTCCCCCAACAGGGTACATGTGACAGAAACTGTTGCAGGACTTGACAACTTCTTTAGTCACATCGTGAGAGTATGAAACGGCTGTTAGCCACATTCTTGTCCAAACGTGTGACACTGACCAGAACCGTCTTATTAGGAGAAATGAGTCCCTGAGCCTCTGCCTCCCTGATCATGCTCAGCGATATTCTGTCCTTGACACTGTCAGTTGCACAGAATAAAATCAGCGAATAGCTCATCAACCGCAAAAACAAGCACCCACATGGGGGCAACACCACCCAGAAGTTATTTTGTGCCAAAATGCAGATGTCGTCTCTTCGACACCAACAGGCTTTCCACGTATTTACCTTCGACAGGGTTCCATCAGTTCCAGCTTGCATGCGACCTTTGCAAGGCATGGCCCAGTAACTTTGTTCAAGTACACCTGCAGCCACATCAAAATCAACAAATCAGGCTGCCACCCCAAAACTCCGAGCCACAAAATCAAAACATTGGCAACCCATGGATGAAGAAGACATCCCGCGCCAGTATTTTGCCGTGGCAGACGCTTGTTCATGTGGCAGAGGGACGTCTTTGGGGTGATTTCTGCAAACACCAACAGCTCAGAACGATGTTCAACCCCCTGTGAACCGCACCATGGGAGTCCTTCCCACAAGGCCGGCAGCATTTTCCCGGATCCCGGACGCGGCAGCAGCAGGGGCAGTGCCCGGGGTTTCCGCGGGCGCCGCCCGACAGCACAGCCTCTCATGGCATGGCCCGGCCGTGATCGCCGAGCGGACATCGATCCTGGCGGTGCATGGGGCGATTTCCGCTCGAGCGCCTCTGCGGGGATCCACAGCAGGCCGCGGGCGAGGCAAAGAACAAGGCGCCGGGCCGCAGCACCTCGAGGGGGAACACGTTCTGTCCATCCTGGCCGAGGCTGCGGACGTTTTGCGGGCCCCTCCCCCGATCGCATAGGGGGGTTGTACAGAGATGTGCGGGCTGTGTGCCAACGGTGACGTAATGTACCACGTGGCCGTGTGGGACTGTACACGTGGCAGCTTCGAAGGGGTGGGGAACCCGCACCGCTTTTGCGGACAGCCCGCACCGAGGCAAAACCAGCGGTGGCGGTTCGGCGGAGCGAGAGCAGCGGCGCGGTCCGGGATGGTGCAGAGTTCCTGCAAGAGCCCGGCGCCAGTGGGTAATGGCGTCGCTCTACCCCTCAGAGGGCTCGCAGCACTGCGCCCAAGGAGGCTGAAGGCGCCCCGGGGTGAACGAGCGGGGCGCCGCGATGCACAAGGCAATTGCGCGAAGCGCATTGTTGGAAGGGCGGCGGAAAGCGGCGGTGCATCCACGACCGAGGCTTCGGCGCCCTCAAGCGCAGTCTCCCAGAGAAATGAGACTTGGGGGTGGCGTGGCCATTCAATAAACTACGTGGTGGGCAATTCTTGCCAGCTGCTCTATTGGCGATTGAGCCGATCGGGCTCAGCGCTGCGGGCAGCAATGCAATGCTCTGTCTGGACATTGATTTCCGGCTGATGTACTGACCTTCCAAAATTACCGCTGTTCCGCGTTTCCAGAACAGCACTGGAATACACAACAGAATACCGCATACGCCACTTTTGCATTCAGACTCAGATGCAAGTCTGTCTGAGGAAGCAAGTGGTGGTCCTCAGGTGGCTTGCAATTGAGGTAGGAAACATTGGAATTTATGTGATACGTGCACCTCTGATATTTGTGCTTGTAGGTATGTGGTGAAGGAGAGCCGATTCTTCTTGTGCACGGCTTCGGGGCGAATACCAAGCATTTCCGGAAGAACATTCCTGTTCTTGCAAAAGAGTTCAAGGTCCGGTTGCTACGCATCCAGGAAAATTGGTGGGATGTGGATAGGGATTTGCTGCATCCCTATGTTCGTGACAGCTATTGTTTCAGATGGTGCTGTTGCCTTGAGTTAATTACTTTCCTTGGGTATGATGGAGAGAGTTTTCAACTATTTCTTGTTTGCTTTGGCAGCAACTGAGCAATTGCACATCCTGTGATGCACTTCTGAGAAAGTCCCTGGAGTTTGTGCATGCAACTGTGAAGAATAGGATTCTACAGAGCATTTGAAAAGAATGCTGAGTAAGCCAAAAGCATGTGATCAAAAAAACAATGCGGATGTGGCAGGTTCAATTGGTGATTTCGATGATGTTTGAACTGACAGTCATTGTGCCTTCTGTGGCTGTTGCTGTGATCGCAGCAAAGCAGCATTCGTGCCTTCTTATCACTTGGAGTTGCCTGACCCACAGTTCTCATGGGCTGCACAATATTGCCAGGATGTGATCCTTCCTTACCACAGATGTACAACTTTGTCACATTTTCTGTATGAGCAAGGCATCACAAGATGTTGCTTGGTGTGTCCTGCTGTCAGGTGTATGCTGTGGACCTCTTGGGTTTTGGAGATTCTACAAAAGCCCCTGTTGACTATTCGATGGAACTGTGGAGGGATTTGATATTGGACTTTCAACAGCAATTTATTGAAAAGCCGGTGGTGCTTGTTGGCAATTCAGTGGGAAGTCTTGCGACACTGATGGTAAGCTGAGTGTATTTTCTGCTGAGTGTTTCTGTGCAAAAATAGGCCCCTTGCTGTTGCTGGCAGTCAGCTATGGGCCTTGATCGGAGCCAGCTTGGAACTGATCCTTATCTGGTGTTGACAGATGCAGCTTGATGTGCGGGAAGCATTCTGCTTTTAATTCCAAGCTTCGCTACCCAGTCCATGCCAGACATGCTTTTGTGCTTGTTTCATTGCTTATAGCACACAAAACGATGGACCTGTATTTTTCCATTCGGTTTTTGGCAATTTTGGCAGCAACTGATCACATCACAGTACTGTGATGTTCTTAAAGGCAGACACTGGGCCATACATGGAGTCCACTTTCTCTCCAATTTGCGTTTGCCAAAGTCTGGACTGTACACCTTAATCGTTCTCAAAAGTAGGAGGTCTCAAATCTCTGTTTACCTTCCAAAGCCACATTTTATGTTCTATTTGTTTTTCACATCGGCACCGTTTGTGCTGGGAATCTTGGCTGTATGGCCTGTTGTTGTGTTGGATGGATGTTCATTGTATACCATGAAGCCACATTCGTGTTTGTCTCCATCATATTCATGATATCTCTATCTGCATGTCAGCACAGCTCAACCTACAGCCAGTGGAACCTGTGGGAGATTGGCAATTAAGAAGTTATTTGCCCTAGCTTCTGATCTGACTGCCACTCACGGCCACTGTGCTCATTTGCTGCCAGGCAGCTGCGTCCTTGCCAGAGGGGGCCTTGAGGGGAACGGTGCTTCTGAACTGCGCTGGAGCCATGAACAACAAGGCACTATCCGATGACTGGAGAATAAAGATAGCATACCCCATCTTTGCCCTCATCGACTTTCTACTTAAGATTCGCCCTGTTGCCAGCTTTCTCTTTGAGAAGTATGCACAGAAGGAGAACATCAAAAACATTCTACTGGCTGTCTATGGCAATGAGGAAGCTGTTGATGACGAGCTCGTTGATATCTTGCATGGGCCGTCACAAGAGAGTGGAGCATTGGACGTGTTTGTATCCGTCCTAACAGGTGAGTGAGTACAATGGGAGGCAGGAGTGATGGTTGGCAAATGGTTGGAAATTGTGTGACCAGCCCTTTTGTCACATACAAGCATAGACTGCACTGGGAATTAGCCCTTTGCATCAAATACATGGGTTGATGTGTTTGAATGCACTAACTTTGGGTATCACATGCTACATGATCTGTCACTTAGGGTTGATTGCACAGTCTTGCTGGCCAGCTGCACGAAGCTCCTCCTATTCTGCACTCATCATCGCATTGCTATGTAGGATGTTGCAAGAAAGATCCCAGCAGAATTCGAGTGAGTACCAATTCCTGTACTTTCATTCCAAGCAAATGGTCTCCTACATGCTTGCTGAACATGATACAAGGTTGGCACTGTCAATGCAGGTCCCCCAGGCCCCAGGCCTGAGTCATTGATTCCCAGTGTGTCTGGACCATTGCTGCTGCTTTGGGGAGAAGACGATCCCTTCACGCCAATGGACGGCCCAGTGGGCAAGTTCTTCCAGTCGCTCCCAGACAGGAGGCCAAACACACAGTTCGTCTCACTGGCAGGTGCTGTGCGATGTTTGTTTCTGGGAGTTTAGTGTCATCCTAGACTGTCTTGAACTCAGCTGTCACGCACCGAGCAAACAATTCGGACAGGGGTGTGGTTTCACCAGGATGTTCCTGGTCTTTAGTGTGCTGATGGGAGTGCAGGAGTATGCAAGCTTGCTGATGATCGACTTTCCCACTTGTTGCAGGTGTTGGCCATTGCCCTCACGATGATCGTCCTGAACTCGTTCACAGGAATCTGCTGCCATGGCTTGAGGCATTGCCATGACTCCTGCGATCGCTCAGAGGGAGGGTTGACGAAATTTTTGTGGTTTGAAATCTCCATTTATACTGAATTGTCCATCGCAGCCTTGTGTAACATAAATTGTTCCCCTTCAATGTGTGAGTTCGGATGTTTCTGCAACAGCACCCAGCAGCAGAAACCTCCATCCTGTTGGGGTAATGTATGGCAGAAATGAACCTGTATTGCTCGCTGCTGTTTGGATGCTGTAGTTGCACTGTGTGTGCGTGCGTGTGCGTGCAACATCAACAACCGCATCCAGACAACGTTGGCATGCTAACCCATGTTGGCATACAACCCCAGGAACCTTGGAGGCGGGTTTGAGCATTCAAACTCTCCACCACTATAGCCCATTGCAGTCAAGTGCACTGCTGCTTCCGGATTGTGATTGTAAGCATTTACATCAAGCAACAACTTATTAATTTCCCTGACTAGCCCCAAATCAATGACCCTTCCAATGTGCCAACAGCTGCCAGTACCTCTGCAAAATTGTAAATTCATGAATTTTGGACAATATACATTCATGAATTTTGGGGTATCACATACTGATGTGAGCACCAATTGTGGTCATCATTCACATGGCACCTGCACTCTCGGATGAATTGTTTTGTTGACGAACTCGACTCATTCGCACCAAAAGACCAAAATGGTCACTTGGATACACCTGGGGGAGGCACAACGAAGCTTCAGCAGATACACTTGGCTTCATGGAGGCACCAGTCAGATGCGCTGGAAACCCATTTGCAGTTAGGGAACAGCCTGATGGCCAAAGAACACCCCTGTTGAACACCTTCCAACACAGAATGGACGAACAATCCCCACCTTCTGGTGCACAGGTGCATCCTATGTCATTTGGCCTCTTAAGGCACCCTCTTGGGGTCCACAGACAAAGAGCAGCACTCCCTGAAACTTTCTGAACCAACATGCTTCCTGCCTCAGAATTTTGGTGGGACATGCGAAAGACAAGCAGCAGTGAAAGTCATTCAGCAAATGGTATGGGGCAACAAATGCGGGAAACTGGCGGTCAGTCCAACTGCTTCAAAATGGTTGAAGGAGGGTGTTGTGCAGGGGTCCTGGTCAGTGAACCACCATTGCACAGTTTCCTTTTTGAACAATGGGTCTGAATGCTGCGCCACCCAAATCTGAACAATATCCACCAGCTGTACCAATTGTGTGGTGATTACCGTCCTGCTCACTGGACCCCAACTGCCATTTCCACCTTTGTTCTTCATGCACGTCAGAGTATCATCAGGTAGTACACTGGCGATTCGGACCTCTCGGCAATGCACATGGCCAACATCAGCTCTTGTCTCTTGCCTGCTCTTCTCACCTTTGACCGCTTCCCGAATTTGCGGGTAGAAGACCGGTTTGAAATCGGTTCTTGTCCAACCAGCTGAATGCTTTCTAGTCGCCAATCTCTCAACTTGCAGAAGACTCTGTCCAGACGTGCCTTGTACCTGCTGGGAGCTGGTGCCATTGTGTTTTTTGATGGGTCGTATGTCAGGCCCTCTTCTCCTGGGCGCAAGGTCATCCATGCATCGACCCAGCCTGCAGGCCAAAACCGGAATATAGTGTTCAGTTTGGAGGCTGCAGACCTTAGGCATAGCAATAGACAATGAAACTTACTTATCCCCATACTGAATAATGTTGAACCTGGTACAAAACTGCCGCCGTACCAAATAAAAATGAAACTAGCACCAAATAGTATTGAATCTGGTAACAAACTGCCAACATACCAAATAAAATTGAAACTAGTACCAACATGTATTGAATCTGGTACCAAATTCGCACGGCACTAAAAACGTTGAGCTGTGTAACAAAAAATGTTGAACCGGTGCCAATTAGTCAGCAAATCGCCGCTGCCATAAGGGCTCATAAACCCTAAACCCCAAACCAAGCGCAAGCCCAATGCTGGTCGTAGACTGCCGTTCGATGACTAATTGGTACTGATTCAACATTTTTGGTACACCGTTCAACATTTTTGATACCGGCGCGAATTTGGTACCAGATTCAATATGTGTTGGTATTAGTTTCAATTTTATTTGGTACGTCGGCAGTATAGTACCAGATTCAGTACTAATTGGTACTAATTGGTACGGAGTTTAAACATACTCGATGGGGAAGAGGGAAGGGGGCGCCCAGTTACACATGCCACGATGGTGAACTGTTGTGTGGCCAGACCCATCTTTCTCTTCTGAGCTGAACACCCAACGCCATGTGCAGAGGAAGTCGAATAGAGCGTTGAAACCAATTGCAACAGCACCACAGTAAAGCCAGAATGCGATCATTTCAGATTGGAAGATGACTATGGCCCTGTCAAATGCCAAAGGACATGCTGAGCAGTACATTCGAACAGCTCCAGACAACAACAACTTTTTGACAAGCATTCAGGAGTCCACAACGCAGCCACACATACAAAATCTGGATTGCAAAGCGTTGCTCAACAGATTCACTTTTGGCCACAATGACAGCTTCTCAATCTCAGACTGCCCATGAAATTTTTTTGCCCCTCCTGCACATTGACCTACCATTTGGCAGTTGCGGGCCATCAGGTTCGTCAGCCCTCTGCCAGTTCATGTCGCCAGCATAGAGCACGTTAGCACTTGGGAGAGCGTCAAGCGTCTCCAAAGCCCTCTGCATTTGGGAAACCCGCTCATTGTGGTACGTGTGGCCATTGCATGGGCTCTCCAAGTGAGAAGTGGCCACTGCCAGTGGGCAGCTCTGTATGGTTACATCGGTGCTCAAGAGTCCCCGACCTGCACATGAACCGATCCTGTGTTACACCTGTTCGCAGGAGAGTCCTTTGATGTGAAGCACTTGCAGCAGCACAGGACACCAGATTTGTTGGCAGATCAACCAAGAAGTACACAAGAACACCACAGCAATGCATACAGCACATGCAGTACAAGACCATTCACACAAACATAAGCTAGCAGTCTGTTCCTTTTGGGTGGTGACCATATTTTCAGCTTGGCATGAGTTCGTGGCTGTCTTAGCACGCTCACCCATGATGCTGCTTGGGAACTCCTCATGGTTGAAGAAGAGTGGCCCATCCAGAACGTCTTTTCTACACAGCATGAGTGTGAAGTATCTCTGTTGCAGAGGTTCAGACGACACATATCTGGGCCACCAGGCGGCCTCCCTGAGAATGCGCAAAATTTGCCAGGTGACTTCCTGCATGGTAGCATGAAAACTCAGCTATGTGGCTTCACAAATCATCATACAAATCGCGAAGACAACAATACTTGCCAGGAAGCTTTGGTGATGGGCTATTCACCACAGAAATGCTGTGTCGTGCATGGCTTCTGCTGCGCTTCAAGACTTGTGCATCACCCATGATATGGCAAGGAGTCTCACAAGAAATATTTGGCTGGGGACACAGTGCCCCCTTCAAAGCATGTCTTCCTATCTGTACAGTGGCCAAGTACAGGGCAGCTACTCTTTTTGTAGTACATAATGTATCTGCAGCAAGCATTCACAGCATGCCCTTTTCCATGGCTGCCAGGAGCAGGGCAAGGGCCTATCAACTGCAAAATATTCCAACAGGGCTGGTGCTGCGAAAATATTCACCTGGAGACAGATGAAATGGGGAAACCCATGTTCTTGAATAATGTTTCCCACACCATGCATCCGTTCTGCCAGAGCAACATCCTCATTGAACCTTTCAGTGAACACACAATAGCCGTGGATCAGTTGGGTGAAGAGCAGCAGTGGCAGACAAGAGCTTCAAGCGCAACTTGTGGGACTTTCTGCAAGTTGGCATTCGCGATTGTGGGCTTGCTTTCCATGCATCAGGCACCACGTTTACACACAGTGAAATAATAGACACCAACAGCTAGCAAACGGCATTCATGGTCCTGTGCATACAACTGCCCATTGAGCTTTGGAAGCATGTGTTGTCACCATTTGCACATGCACTGGACGTTTGACCCAACAAACCGTCCACCCCAATCGTAGCCTCTGTCAACTTGCATAACGAGATCAACAGCAGGAGAAAAGAATATGAGCGCTGTTCAACAAGCTGGCCATGCACAGACACGATACATGGACATAGGGCATTCTGGTTAATTCATGGATTGCAGACCCTAGGATGGGTCTTGTACGGGCAGAAAACTCCGGATGCGGCAGCTGTGCATGGCGATAACGAACTGGTCGTTAAGATGTCATTGCTGTGTGTGCATGTATCGCCACGCTATGCAACTTACAACCTGTCAGACACGCGGGGCCTTGGGGACCAACAACATGGACATAGCAGCGCACCAAATGTTGTAGGTCAGCAATTTCAATTCTTCCTCGCCTCCTTCGCAGTAGCTCCCCTGGTCTTCGCCAAGCCGGCATTGGGGAACGACCGCGCCCTCATGCGCCACCGACCTCGTGCCGGCCCCCTGCCGGGCGACGTTGTCGGACAGCCTCTTCGCCCCGAGCGGCCACAGCTTCGGGATGCGCGCATTGACCCTGGCCGCGAGGCCCATCATCTTCCCCTTCGACGACTTGTCGGCATCGTGCCGCCCACCCCCGGACACATCCCCGTCGCCATCCCCATCCCCCTCCGCCCCAGATTCCGCGCCCGATTCCGGGCGCATCGGCGACGCCCTCGATCGGAACGGGCCCTTGGGCGCCTTGGGCGGCCTGCTGGCGACCTCGTCTTCCTCCAGGTGCCTCTGCGCGTACTCCCGCGGCGGTGGCGTGTCATCAGACCCGCCCGTGTCCGCGAAACTCCTCTTCCTCGACTCGCGCGACGTCTGCGGCCCCTCGGGCGTGTCCCGGCCGGACGCCCTGTCCATGTCGCCGCCCGCACGCCGAGCCGCTGGGGCACCACCGCGGAAAAAAGTTTCGTTGCCCGAGTGCGCACTGCGCTCGCGTTATGGGTGGGCGGTCGGGGGCCGGTCGCGGCTGTTCGATGGGAAGTTCATTGCCGCCGCGGCGCTGCATCGCTAAGTACGCGCCATCGTGGAAGCCGGCGCCTGCTGCGTCCGAGGTGCGCACTTCGTTGGGCATTTCCCCTGCAATGCCCGCAGCTCCTTTTTTCCCCCAGTGCTCCTTCGATTGGATCGCGGCGTAAAGAAACTTGGGGCCAACGTGTTACGCCCGCCGTAACGCGCCCTCTTTGGTCCATTGCTGTAATTGTGCGTTGCCGGGGCCCAGACCCGAGCCCGCAAGCCTGCAGCGCGAGCACGGCCATGGCGCCGTTCAGGCAGCGCGCGAACGTGTACGGCCTGGAGGGCGACGTCTGGGAGTAGGTGCCCCTCCCCACCGTCTTCAGGGCGCGCCGGGCGGGCCTTCCGTCGTCAAGTTCGTGCGAGCAGGCCACAAGACCTCACTCGATGATAGTGATGGGGTCTTGAGAGTGCAGAATGCACATGGGGAGCCGCATTGGGGGAGTAGGGAGAGTAAAAGTGGCGGGGCTTTAGAGACACCGCGAGGAAAATGGTGCTGCGCAGCCACGATGGCTGTACATTTCGACTTGCCATTAACCAGACGACTGGCACCCATGGTTGTCCCCATGGCAGGTGCAATCCTGTCAGGGTGATTCGCCTAGGTGTAAGAGACACCAATTGGTGGCAGCCTGTGTATTCCTGCTGTTGCCCTTGCCCTGGCTCTGGGCATGTGAATGCACTACTGGACGTCCTAGCAGTGGAGCTTGCTGTCAGATGCTTCTTTCAGGAGAAAGAGGCTTCAGCTGTGGCTGTCCCCCTCCTGAAGTAGGTGCACGTGGCCAGTCGTCCATGGTCAGCTGTTCAGTCCGTTGCAAGAATCTCATCAGACCTGCATGGTGTTGTGCAAGGCTCCTTGAGATGGCACACTGGCATCGGGAATGAACGCCCGTGTCGAAGAACAGTGCTAAGGATGGTACAGTATCCTTAAAAGCAGGGTTTCGTGTTTCCCTCTCCAGTCCACAGCTGTGCTGTCACCAAACAAAACCACATTGTCCATTGAATGTTGTTGAATTCAATGCTACAACAGAGCATAAAATAATGTACACAAATGCCAGAAGCGATATTTGAACCAATGAAGCAATGCTGCGCGGCTCATCAACAGCACGAGGATGGCTGTTGTTGACCCGGACCAGAGGGTCCTATCTTCAAACCGCTGCGGCCGTTGGTCAGGAGGCTGGGGGTGTCCAGAATTTTCAGAACCAGCTCTTCAAACGCTTGCTGAACGGCAATGTTCGTCTTTGCACTCGTTTCGACAAATAGACACCCATGCTGGCGTGCAAACTCCGTGCCCTCCTCTTTGCTGACTTCTCGATTGGACTCCTGGACACAAGTTCATGCATCAGGACACACCTTGGAAGAAGTGAACGCATGTTTGAACTTTCAGTCCCCAGTTGTGGCCAGAGGTCCATTCTAGCCTTTGGCCGGGAAAATGGAAGACAGAAATGAGTAGACCTGATCTCTCTCCTTCAATATGACACTGCGAGTGTGACGGTGAAAGTGACTCTTGAGCATATACACCAATTCAAACGGGAAGAAGCAGCAACATGATATCCCAACCCAGCAAAAGCACAATCAATGCACTTACAGGGCCGCTGTTTTGAAAGGCATCCCAGACAAACAACAAGAACAGTTCTGCACAACGCCAATCTGTGCCAAAGCGTCAGTGACGGGTACACTGTCTAGAAAAAAAATTGCTGTGTGTACTGTCACCCACGCACCATGTCCACCTTGTTGGCCACGACCATCTTGACGGCATCCTCGATAGTGCTGTACATCTCCACCTCATTCAACCAGACAGTACCCAGACTCTCAAATGTCTCCCGCCTTGTTACATCGTACACTGCAATGATCACAAGACAGCGGCTATAAGCACAGCAATGTAGTTGACTACTTTGGCTAGCCCGGATCCAAACGTACAGCAAATTGCATCCAAATGTTCTCAGCCGTTTACCTTCTGCAGAGATGGCCCATGTGTCCAACACTGCAACTCACATGCATTTGGACGTGTCACCACTTTGATTGCCCTCAGCGAGCTAACTGATACAACAAAAGACTGGTGCACCATCGAGGACGATGGAAGGAGGCGCATATCAGTAGCGCAGGACTCATCAGCTAGCAATGCAAAGACAAGGACAATAGACAACCCAGGCATTCCATATGAACGCCCCCCTTTTTAGTCTGTCAGCCTGCTCAGAATAAAAATAAAGCCATCACGGGCGCAATCTGCATTTTTTTCTTCAGTGTGGCAAGTGCCTCACAAAAAGCAGCCCTTTCCCTTTTTCTTTTTGCCTTGTGCCATCAGACAATCTTCTGCACCATAGGGACACTACCTTACCCACCAAAAATTATCCCTTGGGCACCCCTGTAGTAGCTGCTAGTCAGCGTTCGAAATCGCTCTTGTCCGGCCGTGTCCCAGATCGTAAGCTTTAGCTTCTGTCCCTTCAGCGTCACGTATTTGATCTTGAAGTCAACGCCTGTGCACAGCAACGGAATCACCAGGGAGGAGCCACCAAACACGCGGCTGTGCACGGCCGGGCACAGCAGTCGCAGACAACACCCGCGCGGAGACACGAGTTGAGCTCCCGTGCAGGCATTTGCCCATCACAGGGAGCCTGGCTCCAAATGGAGCACCACCAACGAGCGGGCCACTTCTCAACGGCCCAGCCGAGAGAACATATCACGTCCACCAACCCCGACCCCCTTCGCCCCTTACCAATCGTCGAGGCCGCGTGTTCGTCGAAGCGGTCAGTTGTGAAGCGCATCAGCAAACAGCTCTTCCCCACGGCCGAGTCGCCCACCAGCAGCACCTGGAGCAAGCAATTTCTACGTCAGATTCCGCGCTCTCCGCACCTCTACACCCACATCTAGCACTCGAACGGCTTTCGACGCACCTTGAAGAGCAGGTCATACGAGTCTCCAGCCTGGAGCGCCATTCCAGCGCCCGGCGAACTCCGTGCGCCAACCCTTTCCCGAGGGCAGCACTCCAAGCCAATAGCTTCCGCCCGGGTCCTGGGCGACGTACATACGGGCCAGCGCGCAAGGAACGGGCCTCTTCATTATGGGCCAAACGGCCCCAAAATGGGCAATTTCTGGCATGGTGGTGGCTGCGAACAAATGGCTGCGCAGGTCGGGCGCGAGTCCAGAGTCACACCGCCCCCGTCCAGAGGCATCGCGACCCTGGACGCCCCCGCCCGCAGCGCCTGGTAGGCGAGCAGGCTGCTTGCCTGGCCCGTCCGCAGCGCGGGAACGCGACGAGCGCCAACAGCTTTGCCAGCGGCGAACGAAGCGGCTGGTTGGCGCGGATGCCGCCCGCCGACGAGGAGGTCCTCAGCCGGGTGGACGACCTGCTGGACAAGTTGGCGGGCGGCGGCACCTCTGGCCTGGTGGACGACCTGGGTCAGCTGTCCGAGATCGTGGAGTCGGCGGAGGCGCGGTACCAGGACGTGGTGGGCGACACGCGGCTGAGCCCCAACAACCGCAACCAGCACCTGGTGGGCAGAGTGCTGGCCGTCGTGAAGGACTATGACGACGTGTTCGACGCGCTGCACGGAAAGTTGGTGGAGCAGCCGGCGGACTGGTCCCTGCGGCACAGGGTGGCGGTGCTGCGCTTCTTCCTGGCCACCCTCAGCTGCTGGCAGGACCAGCACCCGCTCAAGGACCAGCAGTTCGTGGAGGGGCTGCAGGTGTGGGTGCAGGAGTCCTGGGAGACGCAGGACCCGCCCACGGTGACGGAGGACAGCCTGCTGAGGGAGCAGCACACGGTGTACGCCACGGGACTGCTGGCCATTGCCCTCTCCAACCCAGAATTGGCCGGTGAGGCGGTGAGGTCTAGCCTGCTGCCCAAGTTCATCCGATACCTGAAGTACGCACTTTCGAACAGCAAGGACTCGTCGGAGGGCAGCCCCAAGGGTTCCAAGGTGGGGGCCGCCAAGGGCGCCCACAAGGGGTGTCCCCCGGAGGAGGAGGGGCCCCTCCAGGCCAGGGCTTCGTGCCTGAGGTGCCTGAAGCGGAGGTTCTGCATTCAGTGCCTGGCGGGACTGGGGGAGTATGTGGAGTGCCTGGGACCGCTGCTGCAGGAGCAGGGTGTGGACGTCGTGGTGGGGCTGCTTAGGCAGTACGCCAACGATGGCAGGGTGCTGATGGAGGTCCTGCACCTAGCTTCGGCCCTCCTGGCCCACAGGAAGTTTGCCGAGCTGATGATCAACAAGGACGGGGTGAAGCTCCTGCTGTCGGTGCAGCAGAGCCAGTTCACCCAGGGTGCTCTGGCGATGTGCCTGTTTGCTCTGGCAAGCACACCCCTGGCATTTGAGAGGGTGTGCTGCCTACAGTCCCCCGGTCCAGCCCAGATAACCAGCACCGCCCTGAGCCTTCTAAACAGTGGCTATGACCCGGCAAGGAAGTATGCAGCCCTGTTCTTTGGGGCGGCCATTAATTACCCTGCGATTCTAAGGGAGTTCGATGCGCAGGACAGCCTTCGGGCATTGCTGAATGTGCTGCGTGCAACGATCTTGCTTCTGCAGGGGCATCATCCACACACAGATCTGAGGCCTGAAAAGCAGGTTGCGTTCAATGCAGCCCATGCTTTGCGTCAGTACTTTAGGACTCACTTTGTGTTGCACGTGATGAGTATGAAGAGACGGACTGGGGGGCCAAGCCATGGCAAGGTTGTGAGGGTGGCTGCTCACAGAGGGATCGACATTTCTCAGGAAACAATGGAGCAGGAAATCAAAGCTGTGGAAAATGATCCGAGACTTGGGGAGGCATTTATCCAGGGGAAATGGGCTGTTCTGGACAAGTTCATGGAGTACGGGGGCGTTACTCTCCTGCTGGATCTTGTGCAGGTGGCCCCTGGTGAGCGATACTTCCATGACACAGCTCTGTATGCTCTGGAGATGCTGTACTTGATAACTATGTCGCCTGTAGCGAGAGCTACAGGATTTCTCTTCCTGACACACAGTGGCGAGGGGGGTGTAATGGCTGTGTTGCTGTCAGCGATTGCGGGACTGTCATCGTACGGAGACCATGAGGTTGTTCAGGCTGCACTACTGGTGATGTGCAATCTCGTAGCAGTGCCGTCGTCTCTGTCACACCTGCTACCGCCACTGGAAGCAAAAGGTGTGAGTGCAAGGTGTGCACAGAGAAATGCACATGCAGTGTCCGCCTCTGATGCGGTGCCAAAGCCTGGCTCATCGTCTGGAGCACAAGCTTCTGCAGGGCCTTCATCATGTGGGGACAAGGCGAGCTGCAGCAACCCAACTGGGGCAGGTGTGTCCTGGCAGCACAGTGCCATGGGGAAGGTACTGCAAAGCAGCTACCAGGCCGCCAGGGGGTCTCTGCGCTCCAGGAATGGCATCAAGGTACTGCTGTCACTGCTGCAGGCAAGGAACACCATCCCTGCTGGCTGTGTGCTGAAGGTGCGCTCGCTGGTGTGTCGCTGCCTACTGGGGCTTTTGCGAGACCCAACGATTCGCGTAATGCTCACCAAACTGCAGCTCGGCAGGCTCCTGGCTGAGCTGATCAAGGAGCCCCACAGTCTGCTGAACCAGAAGAGGGGGCATGCCTCCCCGGGATCGTCGATAGGAGGGGCTTCGACTCACGACACGTTCAACAAATACGCCCTGGAGTTGATCACATACACCACCAGCCCAGGCATTGGCGGTGCAGGGGCGGCTGCCTGCAACGATGCAGCAACTCCGGCCCTGCAGAAGATAGAAAGAGCCGCTATTGCCTCTGCGACACACATCACATACCCCACAGAGGACCTGCTGCAGCTCCTGCACGACCACCTGAAGGTTTGTGGGTTGCACCACTCTGCTGACATGCTGGCCTTGGAGGCCAGACTGGCTGGGAAGGGGAAGCTTCAGAGCACTGGAAAGGGCGAGGTGACCCCCCATCACTGTGTGCATCAGCCAAGCGGAAAGAAGCGGCAGCTCACTGTGTCGCCCAATTTATTGCAGACTCCCGGCACAGGCTCGCGGTGGAGCGCCAGGAGCCAGCCATCAAGTTCTGTGGCACGCCAGACGGTTGCAGCCAAGGAGGGGTCACTGGGGCATTGCAGCGTGGAAAGGGTTGCTGCAAGGGGGACAAAGAGACCTGCTGGCGACCTGCAGTCTCCTCAGCTCCCTCCGGCCTTGAGGGGTAGTCGAACATGCACAGGCTGTGAAGCATGTCCCTCTGCAAGGAGGGGTGGGCCTGAAGCGGATGACAGCCAAGGGTGTGCACATGCTTCACAGGCATGTTGCGAGACCAGGTGCAGCAAAGAGATGGGAAATTGTGGGTTGGTTGCATCAGATGTTGACATGCTTGTGACAAAGAATCTTGCAGTGGGTGCTGGCGAAGAGCACTTCCTGCATGGACGCATGGAGTTGGACGGGTTCAATGCTTCGACCACCAACGTGGAAGCACCCTTTCTTGCGGAAGAGATGCCCAGATCCATCAGCAGCCCAGATGCTGGGACGAGTACCAGGAAAGACAGGTCGCAGGATGAAAACCCCCTTCTTGCTGACTTGCCAGGAACAATGTGGGGTGGGAGGAAGAAGACAGTCAGGGTGCATGGGCTTGCTGAGGTGCCCCGCCATGTTCAGGCATGCGCGTCGGAGTTCCCATCGGGTCCCAATGTCAGCAGCAAGCTCAACACGATTGTCATGTCCTACCTGAAGCACCAGCACCGCCAGCTGTGCATGCAGTCAGACAACCCCATCACAGTCATTCCACCGTTGTCCCTTCTGACCTCACGAGGCTTGCCACAGCCGAAGCGTTCACTGGATGCCCCGGTCAATGCAGTTTCCCGCCACTCGAGGATGCAGGCAGGGCAGAGGCACGGGGGCCTGTTTGGGGGCCGTGCAACGCGCCACCATGTGTACAGCCGCTTCTGTTGGAGACGCATGCTCAAGGAGGAGGGTCCCCAGCTGTTGACCTGCTGCAGTTTCGTCCGGGGTTGGGTCAACCTGATAGCCGGCACCCACATGGGCGAGCTTCGGATGTATGAGCATGGGATGGACACTGCAGACGTTTACCCGGGCCACGCCAGCGCCGTTCAGCTGATCGACACCATGGTCGTGGGCGAGGCAGGCATGGTGGCGACGTCTTCCCGGTCAGACGTCATGCTGTGGAATGTCGACCGCATGGAGGACGGCTGCCTGTCAGAATTTCACAACGTCCGCTCTGGCCGTTTCAACAGGGCTGGCAGCCAACTGGCCTGCATAGGCAACCTCCCGCACAGCAGCAAGGTCGTCATCTACGACGTGGCCACCAGCCAGGAGCTGGTACTCGAGGAGGCCGTGGATGGCACTGCCTGCAAGTCCTTGAGCAAGAACGTCAATGGTGTGAGCTTCAGCCCAAGCGATGAGCTGCTGGTGTGGGGCAACACGTTGTGGGACCCCCGCGCCCCCCGTGCTATCCACACCTTCGACCAGTTCACCGACTACTGCGGTGGCTGCTTCCACCCTAGCGGCCTGGAGCTCATCATGAACTCGGAGATCTGGGATCTGAGGACGTACCAGCTGATGAGGAGCGTGCCACTGCTGGACGGCTCGCGCGTGACCTTCAACTCCTCGGGGGACGTCATCTACTCAATAATGCAGCGCTCCCCCGACGACTTCGGCGGCCTGAACAACACGCGGCGCCTGAGGCACCCACTGCACAGCGCCTTCAGGACCGTGGACGCCATCGACTACCAGGAGATCGCCACAGTCCAAGTGGAGCGCTGCGTGCTGGACTTGGCCGTGGACCCTTACGATCAGTACTCCGCTGTGCTCACAATGGACATGGGGGATGTGCGCACCACGGCGCTGCGGGTGTACGAGGTGGGCAGGCAGAAGCCGGCGGAGGACGACTCGGAGCTCGATGAGGACGACGACGCGGAAGAAGAGGAGGACAGGGACACGGACGTGGGGGACCCGGAGGACGACGAGGATGACGAAGACGACGACGG